TGGTCTCAGATAGACAATACTATTCAGAGTTAAGAAGATTTTGAAGAAACCTAGAGCCGTTAGGCTTCTGGGTTTCACCAAGATTTTCTGTCAATGCATCGCCCTTAACCTCAGCTTTCCTAAGTGTCCTAGGTACATGGAGAGGGAAGTGGCCTTCCAGGGGGCCTCAGAGGCACCAGGAGGATCTGCTAATACTCTTCGTCCTTCTCCTTCTTCCTCCCCTTTGTCATCATCACTGTCATTGTTATTTATTAAGCACTTACCATGCGTTTAGCACTCTAAGGTTTTCTATATATTTAAGCCTCACAACAATCTTACGAGTAGCGACCATTAACTCATTTTTCAGATCACGAGGAGTCTGTGAAGTACTGTCTCAAGGTCCTATAATGAAGATAAGTCTGGATAAAACACAGATCTATTTAATTCCAGAGAATGTGTTCTTAACTGGAAAGCTTATACTCTTGTCTTAAAGGATTTACAATGGGGCATAGGATCAAGGAACAAAGGATCAGATGTGTGGATCTAAGATAAGCCTGTATTTATATAAAGTCATAGGGTCGAGATTTAAAAGTTCTTAATCTGGGGTCCACAGACCCCTGAGTGTCTAAAAATAGATTTTGGAAGATTTGCAACCCCTTAAAACAGGAGTCAGCAAATTTTTTATTAAAGCATCATATAGTTAACTATTTCAGGATTTGCAGGCTATATGGTCTCTGACACAAACACTCACCTCTACTGTTGCTGTTAAAAAAGTAGCCACAGACAATACACAAATGAATGGGCAAGACTGTGATCCAATAAAACCTATTCACAAAAACAGACTCTAAAATGGTATGCAAATTCTATGTGCATATGTACATAGTTATTTTTATTGTTGTTTTTAGAAGATATATAGTTTTCCATAGCTTCTCAAATGAGTTCAAAACCTCAGATTATTAAGAAATGGTCCAAATAGTCTCCAAGCCCTCTAAACTTCAATTTCCAGGATTCTATGATTCTACATTCCTTTTAAATTAACACTCTTCTAGACAGTCTTGCTTTTTAGCAGGTTCATTGATGGGTTCTGCTATGAACTCTTACATGAGCTATGTAATTACTGACTGTTGAGAAGGAAATACAGGACACATTACCATCCCAACCCTCCTTGGCTTACCTGGCCGGATGATACTGGCCAAGACACAACACATTTCAGATTGGAATGCATCAGCTCAGTCCTGCACGAGCTAGTCTGAGGTTTGCTGAGGCCTTTTCTTCTTCCCAGAGACCGCTTTCTGTGTTCCACTGAGCCTTCTCCAAAGAAAGGACTCACTTGTCCTGATGTACAGTTTGGATTCTTGGAGTCAGCCAGGTCTGCTCAGGTATGGTGTGGAGGGATGTGTTTGGCTGATGCATCTCTGCAGCTGTTAAGGCACCTTCTCCTAACTAAACATGGTCCTTTCTCTTAGGATTCCCCAGCTTCATGAGTTAGAGCATCTTATTTATTGCCTGCCATGACACCAACATGCACTTTGACCCTGCCTTCCACTCCATGTGACTTGTCTTCCCCTAACTAGAATACTTAGGAGGAGATTGCTGATTATACTCCATTGTGTCCATCACAGAGCCTGATTCCATGCTTTGCATGTGTTTTTTAGGTTATTAGCACTGAGATCCTTGAAAGCTAGAGCCAGTCTTAAATTCTTGCGTCACTTGTGAAAATCAAAATAATGATTATCCAGCACACTTGAATAAAAAGCAGAATCAATTGCTTTAGATTTTAGGAAAAACATTAAAATAAGATAGGACAAATATGACTCATAATGTGATTGCACTTATATTCCGGGTTTCTAAGACTGGAGAATAGGGCATAGTGGAAGAAGCAGGAGAAAAAATAAAAGGGAAGAAAGAAATGACAGAGGAGAGGAGAATGAAACAAAATGAATGAAGGAACAAAGAGAAATACAGAAGGAAACAACTAATGTAGTCCGCAGCCAGCCAACTACTGTTAGGTTGAAGTCCAGTATCATTATGATGCAGCCACTTCTCCAGCAAGAGCCCCCCAAAGAAGGAAATAAACCAGCAAGTGAAAATAACAGGAATATAAATCATGTAGCCAGTACTCATGGAGACTTTATTCTATATTATATATATATCAGATGGGGATTACTGTTAGCTCTCTGAAATGAACCATCAAGAAGAGGACCACAAGGTGTTGACTGTAGCTCCAACCAACATTTCAGTTCAGCTTTAATTATCACGTTCATTTTGCAGCAGTATAGAGCCACATAAATAGAAATGGGTCATGGGATGCATGGACCTTGTCTTGTCATCTCATTATATGACTCTGGTTGACCAATAGCTATACCTCTGTTTCCTCATTTGTCAAATGTGAATAAAAATTCCTTTATCTGTTTATTTCACAAGAGCATTAAGAGGATGGAAAGCGAACACACACACGTGTATATATATATTTGGATGAGTATAAAATACCAGATAAGTGTAAAATGGACCCTTTTCTTTTTTACTTACCAAGGTAATGGGTAGGCAGGGGGTGGGGCTGATGGCATTTTGCACAGAAGGCTTGGTGACTCAACGAAGTGTTTTTTCCCCCCATCTGGCCTACAATTATTATTGCTTGATGTTTTTAGACATACTTCTCCCCTTCAGAAATGCCAAAGGTGAAAAATACTACTCCACTGATATAATTTGTCACCCTTGCTGCCTGAGCAAGGAGCACATAGACAGTTTAGTAATTAAGCTTTTCAACACTGCATCATAAAGTTTTATTCTGGCAAAGGCTATATTTATCAGCTAACAAGTATTAAATCACCCCACCGCTCCAGCCGTTTCTCACTTGAATATGCTCCTTTCAAAACAGAGCAGCTTTCCTTGGCTAGCATGATTAATAATGTTCTTGTTTGAAAATATTACGGTGCAGTGTGGTTCTGTGGGGCTGACACATATACACCTTGGCAACTGTCCCAAATGGTGCTGACCCCGATTTCCCAGGGGAGCTTGATACCTTAGCCCTGGGTCTTTTAGGGCATCCTGGCCATCTGAGTTTTCACGGCCCTCTGGGACGCCTGCCAGCAAGAGATAACCCCGTATTCATTTCATTTCTACAGGGAAAGGGGTAAATGAAAACGAAGAACACAAGCATTTGATACATTTTTACTTCCTTATCTGAGAATCAGGGAATTGGCCTCTTCCTATCATAGATAAATCTAGATGTAAAAATGAGTTTTCAAAGTGATTAAAATAGCAAAGTAACAATGATCTACATATAAGTCAGGGTTGGGTTTTTCTCATATTGCCATAGTCTTCTCAAAATAGGTACAAATTATTAGGTAAACACAGAATGAATAGATATTGAAAGTCATCAGTAATGGCTTAAGAGAGTTCTGTCTTTATGTATTGCACCCCACCTTTATAATTTTTTTCCTCTCCTTTGGAGGATATACATTCATGAGACAAATATAACATTGTTCTTAAAGCTTCAGGATGTTTTCAGTCAAATGACTCCAGAATAATATTAAAAACAAAATAGTACCTTTGAATAACTTTTCTGCCCTTTTTTAAAAGATTAAAGTCAAAATGACAAATTTTAATCAAATATGGGCCAAAATGATGAAAGAGGTCTCAATAATTTTTTTATCATAGCAGAGATTACATTAATTTCTTTTCTTTCTCTGCTTTTAAAAATAAGTGACATTACATGTAGGCATTTCTGTTTTTCATCAAGTGATTGCTAAAAGGACACATAATACTTCATAGAAACACAAAACCCACATTGTAGCCATATAAGCAAGTTTTTTTCCATGCCTATGTATGTGTATACATGATTAGTGGGCATGTTAGTGTGAAACTTTAGGTTATTGCCAAGATAAGAAGTCTTTTGTTGAACTTTCCTTAGTTTTAGGGCCTACAACAATTTCTTACCTTTCAAAATGATGAAGTAGAACTTACTATTTTGCTTTTCAAATTAGCAACAGGTAGCTTGTTTGGAAGGCTGGGGACCAACTTCTCTCTAGCCAGCAAGTCACTGGGTTGTCACTGAAGCATGTGGGTCACTGAACCAATATATTGGCAAATATTGAACTATTTTAAGTGCATTTAATTTCTGGCCCAATACTTTTTTTTTGGTTACATTAAATGCGTTAAGCCTGACACAGTCTAAATGCCACAGCAGATGCTGGAATACACATAAAAGTAGCAGCAGCAGCTATGAAAGATAACAAAATGTAAGATCAATATATTTTCTCTCAGTTTCTATTTAACTTTTATCTGTCATAATAAGACTGGATTTTTTAAGGTTAAAAAAGAACTGTGCGACTTGGAGAATCAAGTTGAATCTGGTTATTTTATGACAATTTAAAGAGAGGTTACTTCGTCAGCCAAGTTGCCCTCCATACTGTGATCTTAGAGATGAGGACATATATGACCTACAATTTAGGGTTATTTAATGATGTGGGAGAAAAATAAGAAACTAAAATTACACTGTTACTCACAGCTTGGAGGAATGTTGCAGTTCAGCAGGTCGCAAAAATATTGAATCAAGGGCATACTTGAAGACTAAAAACCAGGCTTTGATAATGATTATTCTTTATCTGAAAGCAAGATTTTCAAAAGAATAATAAAGGTTTGGGAACATGAACTGTTACTTTGATTTGACATAATTTTTTGGGTGGGTCATTTGTTATTCTTAAGCACTAATTTTTCTCCATCAAGAAGTAGTCATGGCAACTCAGAACAGTGGCAAAAGGCATAAGGTCCAAGGAATTTTTATTCAAGCGTGGGTTGCAACTATCAAAATTTTAAAATAAATTTTATATTCCATAAAAAATTACATGTGAAGAACAATTTTTTTGGTAATTTCTCTCAATAAAATAGAAAACAAAACAATGAATAACAGAGAATTGTGCAAACAAAACCCCAAAGTACATATAGAAGAATCCAAATACTAAATAGACTTATTTGGGTGATCACTTTTTAAATTATATAAATGTCTAATCTCTGTGTTGTACACCTGAAACTAATATAATATTGTATGTCAGCTGTATTTTAAAAATTAAAAAAAAGAATACAAATACTAACTGTGATTATTTAAAGCTTCCAGAACACATAAGGCAGAAGTGATGCAGCCATCAAAGTTGGACTGAGTAAATCCATCCCCTCCGCACACAAGGAAAGGTTTGAGATGCAGAGTCATTTGGCCAGGATATTTGGCAGCAGCATTTGTAACCTGGAAAAGTTAAAAAAAAAAAAAAAATAAGGGAGTGTTGCAATTAACATTCTGTGCTCTGTTGGACTCTCACGTCAATACCCACCTGGGGAAGGCTTTCCGACCTAGAGAAATCAAGGTGTCTTACAAGGAGCAACAAAAAACCAAACCAAGACCCCTTATCTTTCTTCTCATCCAACTGTTTACACTGACATTCTTAGCTGTTTACATTTTCAATTATTTGATAAGATATCAGGAGTACATCGAGCTTCAAAATTAGTGGCTCATGATTTGCTCAATTAGTTGAAAGTACAGTGACTTTTTTTTTTTTAAAGAAAGAGATGATATTCCTAGTATCATTCATTGAGTATCAAGTCCCTGCTTCACCTAGACAAGGTGGGTAGAAAAGAGATTTAAGGGTCATGTCCTTACAGAGTTTTCAGTTCAGCATGACTGCTGGCACTTACCAGAGACAAAGGGCTAAGACGGAGTAAAGAAAGCCTGCTATGGGAGCACACAGGAGTGGGCCCAATCCAGCACACCTGGACAGAGAAAGCTTCAAAAGGGAGGTGACTGGTCATTTCTGAGTTCTGATGAATGCGTAAGAGTTAGCCAGGAAAGCAGAGCTGGGGCTTTCCGCAGAGAAGGAGCAGCATGAGTAAATGCCCATAGGCCACGGGCATGGAGAACAAAGTGCGTTTATGAAACTGTGGGCACCTACTGTGTGTGTGTATATGTTAGAGGGGGAGGCTGACGGAGGAAGACGCACGGCCAAAAGGCACAGTAAGAAAGATAAGGGGTTTCAAGATTTAAAAATATAAAACATAAACATAAAAGCCTATAAAACATGGAGAATTTACTACTCATGAGCCAAAATAGGGAGAATCAGCTGAAGTCTGGAATTTCTTTTATTTTGGAGAACCAGGTTTATAATATTTGAAGTGAAGAAAGGTGTATAGAAAGATCATTTCCGGGAAAAAAAATTTTCTCAAAATTAGGATGAATGTTGCTGAGAAGCATTCATGGCCAGGAGAATGGGCGGGAGGTGGGTGCAATTATCTTGGACACTGAGATGGTTTGGCTATGAAGCACTAAAAAATAACCCCCAAAATACAAATCACACAAATTTATTATGAAGGCAGTCTCACTTGGGATTTCTTCTCTACACAACTTCAGGGGGCATCATTCACGTAGACAGCAAGTGGCAGTTCTGGCCTTGCTTGTTCAATGTTTTCATAAAGAATAACAGGATTTGCTAGTCTAAAAATCACACACAAAAAAGTCAAGAAATGTAATAAATGCTCTTTGAATTATGGAGCTGAGATTTTGGTTCTAGATGGGCTGAATTATAATTTTTTGAGCCAGAAAAACTTTCCTTAGGTATTTTTTATTTATATGCCATATTTTACTTTAAAAATAAGGTGGTACAATGATTTCTTTGTTGCATCTCTAAAGATATAGACCTTTAAAGACAAGTGTCACTTAGACACAAATGTAAAGTGTTGAGTATCTCACTTTTCTGGAGGTCACTTGATATCATCTATCAGAGATATTACAGATAATTTTTTAAAATTATGGCATACTTTTAATTTATGTTGAATTATAGTTTTGTTTTTCCCCAGCTTTACTGAGGTATAGTTGACAAAAAAAATTGTATATATTTAAGGTGTACAACTTGATGTTTTGATATGTGTAGACATTGTGAAATAATCACCATAATCAAGCTAATTAGCACATCCACTAGCTCACGTGGTTACTTTTTTTTGGTGGCGCACTTTACGATCTATCCTCTTAGCAGATTTCAAGTATACAGCAGAGTATTGTTAACTACAGTCACCTTGTTGCACATTAGATCTGAGTACTGAGCCATCTTGCATAACTGAAACTATACCCTTGACCAACATGTCCCCATTTCCCCTTCCCACCAGGTCCTAGCAATCACCATTCTACTCTCTGCTTCTACGAGCTTGACAGTTTTAGATTCCACATATAAGTGAGGTCGTGTTGTATTGGCTATTTGTCATTCCATAGCTGATAACCTTGAAATCAGCAGTGAAGATCTGAGTAACTAAAATAGCACATAGTATAGGCACTGAAGGACGGACTTTGGCATTCAGTCAGAGCTTTTATAGTCCTGCTTGAGATGGAGTTTTAACAAATCAAGTTATCTTATTTGTTAGTGAAACACTAAGGGAGGACAAACACTGTTTGGTTCCTAAATAAATCAGCAATTTCATAATGTGACAACTGATAGTCTGGGGCCATTTAGTGAAGGGACGAATGAATTTCTGGGTCTTAATAGGCTCCAAGAGTATCAGCTTATTAGTTTTCTTGTAATCTTTAATGCTCATGATGATGGTCCCAATATCCAAGAATCAATTCTAATATGCATAAACTGTTAATTGTTAGCATTACTTGAATGTTCACTAATACCAAATGTTTAATATACACAACCCATTTAATTCACACAGCAACCCTATGAGGTGGTTTCTCATTTTATAGTGAGAAATCTAAGGCTCAGGAGGATTGTTATTTGTCTAAGGACAGAAAGCTGAAAGGCAAAGAAACAGGGATTCAAACAGAGTAAGCTGACTCTGGAACTCACCCTTCCAATACTTTTAGAAATATTTCATAAAGACTGGATTTAAATGTCCATACAGCCCAAAGCAATCTATAGATTCAGTGCAGCTCTTATCAAAATACTAATGGCATATTTCACATAATTAGAACAAATAATCCAAAAATGTATATGGAACCACAGAGGTCCCACATAGCAACAGCAATGCTGAAGAAAGTTGGAGGTATCGAGCTACCTACTATCAAACTATACTACAGAGCCATAGTAATCAAAACAGCATGGTACTGGCATAAAAACACTCATATAGATGCATGGAATAGAACAGAGATCCCAGAAATAAACCCATACCTTTATGATCAATTAATTTTTGACAAAGGAAGCAAGAATATACAATGGGATAAAGACAGTCTTTTCAATAAATGGTGTTGGAAAAATTGGACAAATGCATGCAAAACAATGAAACTAGACCACCTTCTTACATCATATACAAGAATAAACTCAAAATGGATTAAAGACTTAAATATAAGACTCACAACAATAAAAATCCTATAAGAAAACATAGGCAGGAAAATCTTGGACATTTCCTATAGCAATATTTTTTCTGACACAGCTCCTTGGGCAAGGGAAACAAAAGAAAAAAACAAGTGGGACTACAATGAAATAAAAGTTTTTGCACAGCAAAAGAAACCATCAGCAAAATAAAAAGACAACACACTGAATAGGAGAACATATTCACCAATAATACGTCTGATAAATTGTTAATACCCAAAATTTATAAAGAACTCATACAACTCACCACCAAAATAATAAACAATCCAATTAAAAATGGTGAAGGACCTAAATGGACACTTTTCCAAAGAGGAGATACAGATGGTCCATAGACACATGAAAGATGCTTAACAACACTAATCATCAGAGAAATGCAGATTAAAACCATGATGAGATATCACTTCATACCTGTCAAAATGGTCATCATAAACAAATCAACAAACAAGAGTTGGCGAGTATATGGAGAAAAGGGTTTTTTGCGCACTGTTGATGAGAAAGCAGATTGGTGCAGCCACTAAGGAAAGCAGTATGGAGGTTCCTCAAAAAATTAAAAATGGAATGCCTTATGACCCAGCAATTCCACTTCTGGGGATATATCTGAAGAAACCCAAAACACTAATTTGAAAGAATATGTGCACCCCTATGTTCATTACAGCATTATTTACAATAAACAGGTTTTGGAAGCAATCCAACTGCCCCTCAAGAGACGAGTGGATAAAAAGGCTATGGCACATACACAATGGAATATTGCTTGACCATTAAAAAGGAATGCATTTTACCAATTTGTGACAGCATGGATGGGCCTAAATGGACCAGAAAAGATGGACCTAGGTATCTCTTCCAACTGGCTGTTCCTGAATTATATCCTTTTATAATTGGTGACACAAGTCAGTGGAATCAGCCAGTCAGAGAAAGACAAATGCCATATGATTTCAGTTATATATAGAATCTAAAAAACAAATAAAGAAACAAACAAATCTGAAACAGACTCATAGACACAGAACAGACTGATCATTGCCAGTAGGAAGGCGGGCTGCGGGGCTGGGTCAAAAAGGTGAAGGGATTGAGAAGTACTGATTGATCATTACAAAACAGTCATGGTGGTATAAAGTACAGCATAGAAAACATAGTTAATAATATTGTAATGACTATGTATGGTGCCAGGTGGGTACTGGAAATACCAGGGGGAACACTTCGTAGAGTACATGGTTGTCTAACCACTATGCTCTATACCTGAAACTAATGCAAAACAATATTGAATGTAAACTGTAATTGAAAAAAAATGTTTTAAAAGACTTGTTTAACTAAAACAAAACAGAAATGTTTGATAGAGTGATAGTATAATTTATAAGAAATGTATATTTGGTCATTCTGATGACCAAACTATATTTTTCATATATATCTGATCTTTGTCCACAGTTCCTGACTCACAGCTCCTGAAACTCTTGAAATTTCTTAAGTGTTGAGAGTGATAAAGTTGCCTCTTGTTATCTTAATGAGGTGACTTTTGGAAAGTCAAAAAATTAAGGCTGGGGGCTGGTTTCTAGTGGAGTCGACCCTGTAACTAGGGGTTGGTATTTTTAGTCTTATCCTACCTGCCACCTCCAGGGAGGGGAAAGAGGCTGAAAATGGAGTTCAATCATTAATGGTCAGGGAGTTAGCCAATCACACCTATGTAATGGAGCCTCATAAAACCCCCAAAGGACAGAGTTCAGAAAGCTTCTGGGTGGGTGGACACATGGAGGTATTAGAAGAATGGTGTGTATGCAGAAAACATGGAGGTGCAGGGTCTGTGTCCCTTCTTACATACCTTGCCCTGTGTATCTCTTCCTACTGGCTGTTCCTGAGGTATATCAGGATTTTATAATTGGCGATTTAATAAGTAACACATTTC